GCCGCCTTGATAAAGCGGATTATTGGACAAATTTGAATTCTTTTGATTTGTGCAAAATGTCTCTAAACCTACCCGAAGGAAAAGATTCTCGACCTGTTATTCATCTGAGATACTTCTCCCCTCTGTGTACCTGTAAATCTGCCCCTCCCAAGCAGTGCTCACCACGCAGATGTTTCTTCCTTCAGAACTAAGCGGAGACATAATGCTGGGCGACATCCTTCTCAGCATAGAATGGTCATTTACCTCCAAAGAGCCAGAAGAACTGAGTCTAGTCACTTCGGCTGCCGCTTAAAGTGGGACCTATCATTCTCATACAGTGACCTAGAAACCGACCTACAGACTCTAAAATCATGTCCCAGAACGTTTTGCTCAGCCATTTCGCAAAAATTTGACAAAGCATGAAAGCTGGGTGAAAGCTTCTACTCCCGGGTGTATATAGGTTTAACTTCCATCCGAAAAGAAAACAGTGTGTACCCGTCGGTTGAAAGCAGCTGCGGAATACGAGCGGACAGATAGTAGTGGTGGTGCAATAATCATTCATTAAGTGGATTTCTTTAAAAAGCTCTTTTTGTAGGAAATGACTTGAAAAAATGCTCTGATAATTAAAAATACTCACAAATGCGCTAACTGGCTTGTTATCCGAGGATGAAAATAACTGAGGAGCTACATCTAGCGTCGTTGCCGGGGTGCCCTTAAAAGCCAGTGTACCCCTACATACGAAGCCTTCTGATTTTCGTGTGCCCACCCACAGCGTCATTCGTATTGTCTGGGTCGCAATCAGCTCACTTCGTAGCCGAATTTCCTTTATCTTAGATATTCAGGATACGCATCTGTTCCATTTGACGCCCGCGTCTCGTCTCTACATGGTTTGCTAGAACCCCTTAGGCTATTTCACTCAATATTCATGTTAGGCAGTGTTTGAATCAGTCAAAAAGCCCTTCAATACCTCTATAGGTCCTTATAAAATGTACAGCCCCATAGGGATCATACATGTACAAGGGGTTGTTCGCACGCACTGCGTCTCCAGTTGCAAACAAGTTAAATTTCAGCCCGAATAGCCCAGCGTAATCACCTAAATAATATTCAGAGCACTTGATAACTAGATAAATATTTGCTATTTTGCCTGTCGGCTGATCCACAGGTTCACGTCTGATTTAATTGCTATTTCTTCGGGCACCAAGCAAACTGCCATGTGTGTATGTCTAAACGGTCTCCGAATACCTCACACACTCAGTCTCATGGCCATCTTGCTGGCTTGGGTCGTGGGCCATTTCCATTACTATCTTGGTGTCCTGAGTGTATTCACCCCTAAAAAAGTCCTCTTTATTTTCCGAAACTCAGCTCATCGTGTCCTAGACAGGGGGTGAAGACATCTTATAAGGCCTTAAAACGAAACGCCTGCTTCGTGCATGTGAACTGGTAACGGAATTCGGAACGTCAGCCTCCCTAGACAGCAAGGTGACACGAAACAATGATGGGACACTTGACATTGACGTCTGTCGGAAAGACACACACACAGGTACCTTGACTTCAGTTCATCCATTGAAAACTAAGTTGAACGTTGCCAAAAATCCGCTGGCGAGATCACGTAGGATACCAAATAAAGTGAAATCTCAGCAAGTAGGTGGACATCTTGTTCGGAAATTCTTAAAACAAATTATCTACCCAGGAAAGGTATTAGAAAGGATAGAAAAAAGTTTATCGAACGAAGATATGGAAAAGCCAAGTCATAAAGATTGGATCGGAGGAAATAAGACGCATCCTTAACAGTTACAACACCAGATTATTCTTTAAGGTGACATACACATCACACCTGTGTAAACTAAAAGATCCAGTTCCCCATTTGGAACGACAGAACTCTGTTTATAAGGTAGACTTTAGTTAATTCGATGCCACATACATTTGAGAAGCATCACGCCAAGACTAACACTTCTAGCCGAACACGGTCAAAGTTCCAAGAAACCACCAAAATATTTCTGATCTAGAAAAACTTGAAGTAGCTCTGCATCGCAGCTCATGGCTTATAGTCAGGTAATAAAATATCATTCCAACAGACGAAAGTCCTGCAAAAAAGTTTTCTTTCTCACGGTGAGCAGACCATTGCAGGAGCCTTGCACATCCGTCCGTACACTTCTTCGGTCAACGGAAAGGATGGGTTGGACATCCTACTAACATGGCAAACGTTAATGATTCGTATTAGCAGTTGTAGATAATATATGAAGAGAAGATGGAACACAATTTTATTCCACACGATTTATTCTGAATGTACTCTTGCCTGAATAGTTCCTGGTGTTATTTCGTTTGATCGTCTTAGTCACTTCGAAAAAATATTGGTCGTATTTTAACAACTTATCTACTCCTATTACATAACACTTCATTGATCTGCGATTTTTATCTGTTTTACGCTCCTTAATGAGTTACATACGTTCTATGAGCCATTCTGTATATTACATAATCCATTTTGTTATCTTTGATACTCAGTGTTATCAGAAGTACCTTTATCGTTATCACTATTATTATTCATTTATTTCATATAGTTTGATGTTCAAACGCTATCCTTCCAAACTGGTAATTTATTCTTTCCCACCCCTGATAACTGACGGCCCCATCTTGCTTTTCATGGGCGGACTAAATATTCCTCACCTTATTTTGTTCCACACTGCTTGCACAATTTAAAAAGCCTCTCCGACTGACTTGCTTATTTACTCACCTGCATTGCATCTATCTTTGCTCCATATCACGATGCAATTGGATAATTGTGAGGGTCACCACCTTCTGTACCAAAACCCAAATATTAACCTGAAAGCCTAATGTCCGATTAATACTCTGGAAAAAGATCTTCGTAGCGAGATCGCAACGCTGCGGAATAATACAAAATATTTGTTTATCTTGTTATTCGTCCCAATATACGACGCCGGGATTACACAAGTAAAAATACACCTTATACGATGAGTTACTTCGTACGTTACAAAGTGTGGGCAACCCAAGTGTTAGCGTCCTCAAAGGCCTGCCCGACGTTTTCCGTCCTCCCAATACTCCAGACCACTTCTGAGCCTTGTTCTGTAAAAGGTAATTTACCTAAAAGCTTTTCATTATCGTTTTCTAATTTTGCTGGCCATACTAGCTATAAACGGCTATGAATTCAACTAAACACTCAGTTACTCTAAGTTTTGCACAGAAGGGCAGGAGAGGTGAATCAGCTAATAAAAACACACAGTCACCTCTAGAAGCGCAAAAATACAAACAAACCTTCATTCACGATCGCTGTGCAATCCAGAAACTCTTTTTTAAACAGTGTGGGACAAACGGTAGTTTAAAGCTCCCAGAACTTGCACTTGCTGTGACCTGATAGGCAGAAGTCATCCTGATATACGTGTAAGCTGCATACAAATGTGTCACCAAGGGTGACTCACAGTCCTCGAAGGGAAGTGCTACCAACAGCCGGCAGTCACTCACTAGATTCCGCAACGCCTTGAAAGGGAAGTCTTTTTCTGGAGATATGGATTAAAGAGATAGTTGCAAACCTTCGGAAAATGAAACTAAAATGTCATTTCCAAGCGTTAACGCTACAATAGCACTGAAAATTTATTTAACAAACTGAGTTGAATGATAATTTTGGATGAAGCCGCATTCCCTTCAATACAGTTAAACAATACCTAGTTGGACAACAGGCAGTAGGACCTAGTGGTGACAAAACAGAAACATCAGGCAAAATGAAGCAGAACAAATGAAAGTGTTTCGTCACTTTAATCAGCATGTATTCCTGTGTGCTGTTAAACAACTTAAGAAACCTGATGCACAATGGCAAACCAGAACCTCAGCTGAGTTACCCCAAAATATTAGCGACATGTCTTAAGACAAGTAGCCGTTTTTAGATGCATTGCAACGCTAACTAAATAGCAGAGAGCTCAGCTGTCACGTTTGGTGCCTGGAACCTGCTTTCCACAATTCGAGACTGAGTAGCTCCAAGATATACCTGCAAAAGCATGTTGGTCGTGGAAATTCGGGAAAAAGGGAAGTGAAACGTGAATACTCGGCATATTCAGAAAGATCAACGTCTGAATTTTAGGAAATGATTATACTTCGGATTATTCAAAACAGCTTTGCAGATGTTTCGGCCATAATTTGCGCCCAGGCCAGTCAATCATCATCAGGGGAACAGTTTACTCCTTAGTTCCCTGGAATGTTCTTCCCATAGAAGTGATCCAGGACACTTCATCTAAATGCTACAAAAGCCGGTCTGAAGTCTACTTGAGGTGTGGGTGAAATCTACTCAGAACTAACTGAAGCTGTGAATTCTAACCATCACTCATTGCTCTTTCTTCTATTTTACACAGGTTGACAACCGCAAGGAATAGTGATCCAGGGATTGTAGGTGCGGAAGCCAGTTCAGCTTCTTCTGTCACGTCAGTAGTAGTTTAAACTATCTGAACCATTTGAACACTCACCCTACGAACCCTATGAAGACACAAGAGTAATCAATTACATAAATCGAAATGGTTCTGAACTGAGGGTTATTTATCCTAGTAGCCAGCGTGGCTCACAAACGAAACTTACTCCAATGATAAACTGGCAGTGTGCTGATTGCGCTTACATTTCTAGCATTCACTCATTTAACGGAAATCCATTTGTTGGGCTCTCTGAATACCCATGGAATACCACACCAAGTATAGCGGACATACATAGAAACAAATATTTATATGCCTCTTTACCTGAGCATTTTTTTCAACGCCTCCATAACCAAAAGTTGTACACAGATTCACAGAGCTGTTGGGAGCATCTTGACAGTCTGCGGGTACTTTCTGCAAGGTATTTGGAACCAAAAATTAGTGAAATGGAATCTACAAATGATTATTTATTCCCAACACTTTGTATCAAATACGCAAAAGCTTATTATCCAGCTAAAATCCCTAGTATGTTAGCAGATTGGATTACGTTTGTATTCGATCCACATCCATGGAACCTGACTTATTTTTATCACACCCTTATTTTGTTTGAACAGACATGTAAAGTGCCTGCTAGTTTAATTTGCTTTGTTACTTCTGCATATGTATCGGAAGGTGAGATGAGTAATCTAAGAGCGTTTCATACTGCTAGTAATTTAGAATTATTTGAATAGTCCACTCAACCTTAGCTTAAAACTTCCTGCACGGTTACTGAATCAAAAGTGTACTTACTGATAAAAAGATTAGCGTTTCACTCAGCATACAGGCCTCTGTAATTCATTGGTTCACAACACTAACTTTGAGGTAGCTAGTTCAATAGCTCAAGAGTTCCGAAATACTTCCTATCTAGTGAAAAAGTCGGCCAAACAGGAGGTGGATACTCGAAACTCCTAAGGATTCAAGGGATATTAAATTCTAATACATCCTTAGAAAGTTGACGGCACTAATCAGGGATTCCTCAAAGTGCCGACGTTCTAACTGTGTCACTAAAAAACTCCTTCGAGTATTTGTTTCTAAAGGGTAGATTTCTCTCTGACTGAATACTGGTTTGCGTCTCAGTGTATGAAGTCGGCAATAAACTACTTGCCTCTAACTATGAACCGTTCTCCTTGATCTTTTTATTGACTAAGATTACGGAGAGAGTGGTAAGTAACTTGCTTCATGATTATCTACGCAATCCTAATTGACTGTCAACATAGAATTCTACCTTGAAGGTCATATAACACCAACTTGTTGATAACATGGAATGGTTGACGTGTTTGTTAATTCGAGGAAGCTCATTCATATTGAATTGCCTGACTTTTAGAGCCTTTGACGGGGTTAATCATAATATGATTGTACTAGATTTAGTGACGGCCAATCACGTTCAAGTATATACTGATCACTCAATCAAGAATATGGACTAAGTAGTTATTCAGGAAAATGGTACCTTATGTATAACTAATTATTCTGTTTTACCTGAGAAGTGAAAATAGCTGAATTTTAAATAGGTCTGTAATCTTTGAAACCATACCATTGTCCTCGTTGGCGCTAATCCTTATGAGTATCATTTAAATGGTTTTTGTGAAATTTTCCTTCGTGATCCCCTTAAAGGTCTCAAGAACTATGTAAGCTGACTCCACATACTTTCCAAGTTATTTACGCGCACTTCAATTGTCCCATTAACGGGGTGCTTTTTGTGGACCGAAGGTTGATGGGGGTAACCTATTTCGGATAAAGGCATATGAATTCCGAGCGTCTGCGTATACTGTGATACCTATTGCCACATATTTTCACAAAACTACTAGAATACACTTTTTGATCCATACTTTATCCACTAAAAATGTTATGTCTCTTCGTTTTGATCGTATGTATTGAGAATCTGTGGTTGTCAAGACAAATGTATGCATACATACATTGGGTAATGTATAGCTTACCCAGTCTTCCTAGGCTTTCTTCAAGTTTCCGAACAAGCATTTATCTATGTCAGACATATCGCCTATTCCACCAAATTTCAAATGCAACCTGCAACGTAATCTTCGACATAATTCATCAGAGGTTTATGCTCCTTTAACAAGGTACATGGAGGCTACGAATAGCTTGAACAAACCATCTCCCACCTGACTGGTTATCCCCAAGGTTCTCCGTCACTTAAGTTTATTTCAACTCATAATATCTTTTGAAGGAGACTTCACCTTATGGGGATGCATAGGGAGCTATTCACTTGGTTTGGGGACTGTCTTCGACGGTTACCATCAGTTAGAGTAGGCTCCTCCTTGCCTAACTGGTTCCCGATGCTAAGTAGGGTGTCTCAGACTTCATCTCTTGCTGCACTATTGTTTTGTTACTTTCACAATTGGTTTGCCAACAGACCAAACTTCTCACTCACTACTATGTGTTGATCTGAAAACTCGGAGGGTGACATAGAGAACAAGCGATATCTCAGTCATGCAGGAGGATCTTTCTAAAATCATAAGTTGTACAAGTGAAAACCTGCTCTCTCTTAGATTGGAGAAGTATAAGATAACGATTATAGATACGTGTAGTTCTAGTTCTTACTTCCTGGAGAAAATAAATATCTCAGTCAAACATCGGAAAAGGTCTAGGGGTTACCCTAAGTGACACATTCGCAGCTTGTGTCCACTGTCGCCTTGCAGCCAGCTGGGCGTTCTAAGGTTTATCTCTTAAATTCTAGGGAGTCTAATTCCGGGACTTCGTACTACAGCTTTCGTTCTACATATTCGTCCTCATGTAGAGAAAAACTCGCTAGTTTGTTTCCATACTTGAAGAGACATAGAGATCCGATAACGGGTTCAGAGAAGAGCTACGAAGAAAGTAATCAGGTTGAGGCACAAACCGCATCTGGATCACTTAGTTGGCCTTAAGCTGCATCCAACACAGTGCAAGAAGATAAGAGGGAATATGAACGTATATGATCATGTCGTCCGTAATCGTCTTCATCCTAACCGATATCTCATGAGCCTTAATCAGAAACACCACCTTAGAGGTCATTTTTTCAGATTATAGCATGAGAATGCACGTGGGGTGATCCACGCTGTCTCATTTGCAGTCAGGGTACGTAAACTATGGAACTTCCTGAAAAAGTTATCAAAGCTTCTTTTGATTCTTTCAGAAGGAGGTTCGCTGCACACATAGAGTCGTATGATACAGATAGGTTGTACTTCAGAAGCCATTAGTGACAGCACTACGTATAACAAGCTGGTTAATTAATTAATCAGTTGGTTATTCCTGTTTTCAGATTTCTTTGAACCAGGAAAACAACGGACCATCGCAAACAAAGAACGTATTCCACTAAAACGAACCTAGAACTAAAGGGACCATTATTAGCGATTTATAAAACACGAAGTTTTAAGTTTACTAGTTAACGCAGACTCTGCTTGCAGAAAAATAGGCTCCTAGTACGCCTTACAATTTCTGTATTTATATTCTTTTAGGTTAGCCTTGTTGTTGTATGGTGGGTCAGGGTGGTGTTCCAACAAATTTCAGTGGCGTTCATATGTCTACTTTGGTCAAGTGGTCGTCTGTATCCTATCTGGGAAACGCCTGTGAATTACTGAGTGCCATTCTGTAAAAGTGGTTATCTTCTCAACACTTGAAAGCTGTTTAGTATTTCACACAAACCAGCTTGAGCGACAAACTAGTGGCTATTATTTTCTTGATAGTGAGCAGTTACGGTTGTCTACCCTTAATAAAACTAATTTTTTTTCTAATTATCGTAACCCTAATTTTAATATCTTGAGTTACGATAAACTGGAAGGAAATATACAAGGGCGTGTTCCTCTTAGTGCTTGCATTGAAGAAAAGAGTTGTTTTCTGATTTTATTTTACTGGTTTATTATCTGATCCTGAAGTATAGATACTTAAAAAACCGTTACTCACCCTATAATATATACCGTCCTAGCCTCAACATCTGTTTATTCATTCTGTTGGAATGATTAAGAAATACCAATGAATGTCTGCTAATCTCGCCTGCGTAACTAGTTCACTAGTTACAAGCCGGTCCTAAGCCCGAATAAAGAAGGAAGGTTGGGCATAGGGCTAGCAACCCTACCGCGGAAAACCAATGTAACCGTCAAAGAAGCTTCGAACCACAAAGTAAATATAAAAAATAAAATTAAACTTATTCGCTGGAATCGGAGAGGCGAAATAACGCCAGTTGGTGAAAGCTTTCAGGAAGCCAATTGACCGATGTATCTCCTATCGATGAAATTAAAAGTAAACATGGGAACATGGAATGTCCGAACAACGAACCTAACAAGGCTGCCCAGATTGCAAAAGAGGTGAGAAGGTATATCATAGGAGTTCTAGGAATCAGCGAGGAATCTGTAGGCGGAATGGAAGTGGAGTCTCCCAACTGTCAACAGGAGAGTCAATAATCTACTCCGATATTGTCATCCAGACGACAACCACGATCACACTGAGTTTTGGAGTGGTTATCATCATGTCCCCAACAGCATCAAAGGCTCTCACTCATACAGTGGGGACCAATCTCCTCCTGCAGGATCAGCATCATGACAGCAAGATTCAACTCAAAAGGAAGGGAAGTCACAATCATACAATGCTACGCAATGGACCTACAAATAATGCAGATGGAGAGAAGAGGGAGAAATTCTACAGACAACTACAATCAGTAATGGACAAGACTCCAACCTAAATGGCGATGGTGACATCAAAATTCTAATGGGTGAGGTGACATGAATGCTAAACTGGGAGTGGACGACACAGGTAGAGGACCAATCATAGGTCGAGAAGCACTTGGTGAAATGATGACTGAGAATGGAGAACTGTTTGCAGACTTCTTAGCACCCAACGATTTGGTGATGGGAGAGTCAGGCAGTGTGTACAAACACAAAGATATTCACAAGGCAGCGACATGAAATTCACCAGACACCAGGACACACTACACTAAAAATCAGATCGACTTGATTTCAATGTGAAGAAGATGGAGACTCAGCCTATTGGACACAAGATCAAATCAAGAAGAGAGAGGAGCAGATGTAGGTTCACACCACTCACTTGATTATCTAGTGCAAGGAACCTACCTTCCAAATCAAGTTAAAAGCCTCAAAAGAAGCTGGTGATAGACGACCACAGTTCAAGTCCATCAACCACCCAGAACAGAAACTGGACTGAAGGACGAAACTACAGGTGACATCTTTACATCAGTCAGTCATTAGGAGAAAATGGAAGATATTGAACAACATCCCTGAAGGAACCTGTGTGGAAGAATACTGAAATTCATTTAAAGGGATGTGGAAGGAAACCTGTATAACCGTGTTAAGAAGGAAGAAGAAGAGACAAGACAAGGAATGGATTTCGACGGACACATGGAAGCTGATAGAGGAGGAAGATGGTGGTGGCCAAGCAGAAGATAAATCAGTGCAGTGCAAGGATGAAGAACAAAAGGAGGAACTGAACACAACTTATAAAAGCTACACTGGACAGTTAAGTGAAAAAGAGTGCGCGCGAAGACAAAAAACACTTCTATGACACACTGGCAAGTGAAGTAGAACAGACCACTGATAGGAGAGACCTGACAACACCACATCAAATAACCAGGTTACTTACTATCTGGTAAGAGAACGCAGACGAAACCAATGAAATATAGTGGAGGAAAGCTAGTTACCAAAGAGGAGGAACAAAAGAAACGATGGGATCGCCACTTAAAATAACTCTTGGATCGACCATTACCAAAATACCACCAGCAGCCCAGCCACAGAATTACCAGTGGACACAAGCCCTGCGACAAAAGCAGAGGTCATGAATGCCATAAAACTGCTGAAATCCGGCAAAGCAGCAGGACCAGATGGGATTCCGCCGGACGTACTGAAAGCAGATACAGAAACAACAGTGGACATGCTCACATTACTATTGCCAAAGGTTTGCAAGGAAGGAAGGAAAGAAAGGAGACCTAAGTCTTTGCAAGAACTGGCGAGGAATCATGCTGCTGTCCACCCCAAGCAAAATATTAAAGAGCATCATCCTGGAGAGACTAAACAATGATCTGGATTCAAAATTACGACCGGAACAGGCTGGCTGGATTCAGGTAGAACAAATCATGTGAGGACCAAATTGCAACGCTACGCGTCATCGTAGAACAGAGTACAGAATGTCAGTCAACTCTCTACCTCAACTTCATCGATCTTGAGAAGGCCTTCGACAGTGTCTACCGAGAAGTAATTTGACAAGCAGCTGCTTCAACACTACGGAGTACTAAAAACTTTTATCAACGCCATTCAACAGCTATATGAAGATGCCACATGCCAAGTGATCCATAATGGAAAGCTCAGTGACGCCTTTGAAGTGAAGACAGGTGACAGGAGTAATACAAGGTTGCCTACTATCACCGATGATCTTCCTGATTGTGGTGAACTGGATTGGACTGGGTCATGCAACAAACTGAGGAGCGAGAAGATGGGCATACTCTAGCTGGACCGATGAAAAGACCTCAGAAGATTTGGATTTCGTCGATGATGATTTATGTCTAGTGTCTTGTCACACAAACTCGAAGATCTACAGGCGAAAACTAACAAGTTGACATAAGAGGTGAGGCGAGGCAGCGAAGACGGGACTTCAAGTGAACGTAGAGAAGACGGAGGTGGTGAAGACACCAAACTAACAACAACAACAACAACAAGAGGCACCAATCACCATTAACGGGAGAAACCTAAAGGAAGTTGTCTCTTTCACCTACCTAGGCAGGACAGCATCGTTTCAACTACAGGCAGCGGCGACGCAGATGAGAATGTGCAAACCAGGATCGGAAAGACAGCAAGACAGGCTTTCATTAGTCTGAACTCACTGTGGCGATTTACTGCACTCAGCACAAAGAACAAGATTTGGATTTTCAACACCAATGTCAAGTTAGTCTGTGCTTCTATATAGTTCATAAACTTGGCGCGTCACAAAAAGCATTTCCAACAAACTACAGACATACATCATCAGTAGCGGCCGACTACGCCCACTCGATACTGAAGATCAGATGGCCAGAATAATAAGAATAAGCAACAGGGAACTCTGGCTGGCTGACAACGAACCAACCAAGGACCTATCACCCAACAAATATGTAGAGGAAGAAAGTGGAGATGGATTGGGCATACACTGAGAAGGCCGATTGGGGATTTCACGCGCCAAGCTCTCGAGTGGAATCCAAATGGGAAACGACGAGTTGGGCATCCCAGCTGAGCGTGACATGGAGGAGATCGTGTGAGGAAGAAATGAAAGTTTGTGGGCAGTCATGGCGCCAGGTTCAAAAGACTGCAGAGGAGAGAGTGTAATGGAGGCGTGCTACTGAAGCCCTATTTTCCACTAGGAACCCAAGGGACAAATAATAATAACAATATAATAATGAATGTCTGCTATCTAGATATTTGAACCGTAGTACAGTTTCTCATTTTCTGACTATAAATTTAGTAGAATCATCGAGAAATTCCTGACCTTTGGCAAGCAAATGTTTAGTCAGACCAGTTGTGTTTGGAACTATCTCAAACTAGGTAGGTAACCGGTTGATCAAAACTTCCTGTACACACTGAAATTTGCTGCAGAAAAACTTAAACACTTCCAATGCGTCAAAAGTTGGAATGGTATGTAAGTACTTCCACAGAATGGCACCCAAAATATCCAAAATTTTCAGCGCATGCTGAAAATTTTTAGTGTGTTCAATGTACGTTTTGGGTTGCTCTGAAAGCTCGCAGCATGTGCGCAAATTATTGCCTTTTTCCTATTCAATAAAACATTCATAGTTTTTTAGAAAGTTGCCAATAGCTCTGAATACCCGAATAACCTGTTTGCTGATGTGGGGAACGCTATTATGAGGTGCTAATAAAAACTGTATTTTGTAGTGGGTAGGGGCTACCACAAGAAATATCACCAATCATCTGTGCTGTACTTAGGATGCTACCTTGTGGCTGTACCAGTCTAAGGTAAAACCATTTTTTTTCAATGGATTTGTGGCATACATGACTGATTCCTGAATAATCACATATAAATCCAAAAGCTACGATGAAAGCAGATTATCATAAAGCTCTTCTTCCCTCGCCAAGTAGTCAATAGTTGGATTATTTACTCAAACTGGTATTACCTTCGATGAACTTTCTAAAGAAAAATGTAGTTCTTACAGTGAGGAGTGCAGCAGATCAGGTGATCTTCTGGCCGTATCCATGAAGACTGCTGCAATCTATGAAATTGTTAAATTCAAGGCAGGTATAGAAATTAAAGCATCGTAAAGAAAAAAGTTACTTCGTTCATTTGTGTGTATATTTAAGTCGTGTAGTCAGTGTTATGGCAGCATCTTCAGAAGCGTTATTTTATTTTTGAACTTCCTTTGAATTGTGACTTTGTCTTCAGATACATAAAATTGTAGTTATTCGTACCGTTCCATTTGTTTTTACAATTTTTGATACCTCTTTGGTATTTAATCTTTTAGTTACCGGTACCTACTACCTAAGAGACGACAATGAGATTACTTCACAAAATACCGAAGTTTTCTCTAGCCATCCGTTATATTTCATCATCTCCTACCCTTTTCAAACAACCACCTCATGACAAACTACGATCCAAAAGAGCCAACCCCCACCTTTTCATTCGCTCCCCTTTTACGATCAAGCACCGGCTGACAGTCTACCGAGTAAAGAGGTAAAAATTGGTGGTCACTGGGGATCAATGGATGAGAAAACCAAGAAATTAAGGTAGCGTACTTTTTCTGTTTGTTTGAAGTGAAACGTTCTGCACATAGAATGTCATTGTTTGTGCTACTAACCTGTTTACCTAGGAGATTATAGAAAGTTCCAGTAGAATATCTCGTAACCTCCTAACTTGTGCGTTGGTTGAATGCCTTCTGAAAATACAACTAGGTAACCGTAGTCTATTAGTAGGTGGTATTCCATCAGTCTTAATTTCTGTGACACCGTTTCTTTTACTGTCTATCATTACAAAGCCCGAACATGATTTAAATGCTTATTAACTGGTCGTTCGCTTACCCTGTATAAACCGTATCAGCAACAATGCCTTGAGGTTCAAAATATGTTTACATGATATTTAAAACTTTTTGTGAGATAATTTTTCTGTGTAGATAAGTCTGTACTTTGACCGGAAACACCAATAAACCACAGTGTTGTTGCATTTCGTGCAACAATAACTTTTTAGGCGACTTAAGGTGAGCATTGAGTCAAGAAACTTGGATTTGAGATATTCCATTCGCATTGACGTAGTAGGATTAGTCACACTAAAGTGTTGTGTGGCCAATGTTTCACGATTAAGCAAAAACTGTGTTCTGTAGGTCAGAGCACCTGAGCCAGATTTAGGTTTTGATAGTCGTATATGTAGCTCAGCAGCCATTTAGGATTATGTTTACGAGGCAGAGCCGCACATAAGTTGGATAATACTACCTCGTTGCCCAAATTTATGTAATTGAAACAGATTTTGAACCTGCAACACGCTGGTTAGTAGACAGTTGTTCAAGCTGAAACCCCACAATAGATTCATCTCGCCTACCGTGTTTGTCTCCCAGTAAACTAAAGTATATGAAACTCGGTTGACATGGCTGCTACATTTTAAAAACTTAGGATGCATATTTTGTCACTAGGTTTCGAAAGCTCTGAATCATGATTAAAATGGAGATCAGTAGTTTTAAAGGAGTTGTTATATAGTGCCATTGTTGAATCAGTCTCGGGTGTTTAGCTAATGAAATGGAAGCTGTTCAAGTTGTTGGCTAACTTTAGTTTACAATCTACATGAAACTGCAGCCAAAGTGACCCACTGAAGTTCAGTGATAGTCTTCTTCGTTCTGTTTTCCAGTTCCATAACTTGAAGATGTTAGGTAGTGTAATTCATCCTTGATCGCAATGCAGTAAGTGCACAGTTATTAATAAATTTTACATGTGCTTTTTAGTTATTACTTTAATTCAGCAAAGAGATTCTCCAAGTAACCAGGTCATATGCGGTAGTGAAGTGAAACTGTCGGGCTTAAAATCACCTTTGTGATCATAGTGTCTGTAGAGTGTCTATTAATTCTGTGATTTTTGAACTGAGTTGAGTGGTTGCCCTAATGAGATCTTTGACTAAGCCACAGAAACCAACATGGGATTTCGATCCTTCTGGATATCACGATTTGCTGTCTATTGCGTGATCTTCGCATCATTATCTTTCTAAGTTTGAATTGTACTGGATGTGCCGTGATGATGACTAAGATGTAAAAACATCGTAAAGTAATTTTTTGAAGACAGTTGAAGTTACCACCAAGTAGATGGACACTAACAGTATGAGAGCTGGCTAAAGTTGCCACAATAGTTTGCAGTCTTACTTGTGTTGATGGAACCGACAACCTAAGATTTCGTAGTATAGTGGTATTTCTTACTGTGACAACTGCGATCTTTTCTACCCGTTCTCTGCCAGTAGTGCTCATGATTGTCAAGCTAACCACCTCCAGAGAATGTATGATTATTAGGGTTCCCTTTACGTAACCTTTATTGTTAATGACGAAAAAGAAATACAAAATGTTTATCCAACCAGTGTAGCACCTCGACTTCATAGTTGTGTCATGTCGTTGCAAGTTAAGGAATGGGATTCGAAAGCATGATATTGGTCACATTCATAATAATTCTTATCTGTCAAGACTTTAAACGTACAAAAGTCCTCTCTATTTCACTTTTTCAATATTTGTTGCTAAGAAGACAATTTAATACTTTAGGTTTTGTTAGCAGGATTTTTGACCGCTTTTGTTGGATGAACTGTACAATCCATAAGATAGTTTTGTCAGTTTTAAAGTCACTTTTGACCATTTCAATAAGTTTTAGTGAATGGTGTGAGCGATATATCATAACATCCTCATTTTTACCTGATTCCTGTCTGTCCAATTTTAGCACTTCGTCCATTTCATCTGTGAGATTTCTTTATGCACTATGCAGGTGACCAGTTAGTCTTACAGGGGACTGGAATATTGGGTACAATTTATTATTATAATAGGATGAATTAAAATGTTACAGCTACTAGAGGAGCGGGGTGGCTATCGTTTTCAATTTTGATTGCAGGAGTTATTTTTCATGCTACCTTTGAGCTCTACTTTTCACAACTTCCTTAGGTTTCGTCATGGCGAACAATTGAAGGCGATACCTACATCGTTTGAAAAGATAGAAGAACTATTCTATATTGAAGACAATATGTGGTTTCATTCCATTGATATTCCTTTAAAACATCCGGAAATGTTAGATTTTTCCCAATTTGTCACACGAACCAAACTTATACCATGGATACCTGAGTCATATAGCTATGACAATTCACACTTATCGAGTTATTTAAATTACCTCTTCATGGAAGAATTGAAATGTGTAAACAGTTGTCCAATTAACACGCGTGATCAAAGTGACCACAGCTTTAATTTACGTATGAATTATCGACGAAGGAAAATATCTATGATTATGGAAACAATTTGTCGAGCCTTTCTATCAACTGAGACAGAATCACTAGTCGGTGGATTATCGACACAAATTGATGAGCATGCATTGATAGAGATGTTTTTGAAACGATTAGTCGATCGTGAAGTATTTGAAACTACGGAGGAAGTGAATGAAGATATTTATGAATCAGTAAATGAGACCATTCTTGACTCTGAAGGTTGTGTACATTATCGAATACGTTCTGAGGTAGCGTGGCAGTTAAGAGGACCGTTTCCTTTGAAAGCTGTAAGCCATTCCTTTTTTTGAAAGACGATTAGTTATTTATAGGTATACATAAAGCAAAGCCTATTCAACGTAGTGTAACTTCCTAGACCACGGTGAATAGGGAATGTTTGCTGTTTGTGATTGATAATATAAAACTAGTAGCACTAAGGCTACTGAATCAAATCGTGTTACTGCTCAGGCTTCTTTTCAAACTAAGTTATCAAGCTCACAAAGGTCCGTATATCAACTACTAATTGTCTCTTGGTGTGGTTTTGTTTTTATGACACTATTTCATACTCATTTGTTGCTCTGTCAATAAAACTAAGATAAACGACTAAAAATAACCTTAAGGTCGTAAGGAAAAGGAACGGAAAGTTTCCGAAGGAAATTTTCTTTTTGACGAATTCATTTGTCGAAGCCGTGTAATCTTATTGATAAACATTGGAAACATAACAGTCTACCATTAGTGAATAGTGTTGTGATTACTGTAAAGGCCAAAAGTAGAAAAGAAACACTGAAAAAAACATCGTAATAATACTACTATTAAGATCATGCTAAAAGGAGACACTAAATGTGCTTCTTCTGAACGTATAAACTCAGCTTGAATCAGTGAACTGCCATGACTCCACAGTGCATAAGATGCGAAATCGTATCTCCTTTCGAACTGTTCACTTTGACTTTGTAGATGATCTCGAAAGCAAACAATCGTCGAGCTACGTACCCAGAATTAAGTAAATGATCAACGATTGGCATTAGATATAGCTTGTATTTGTGTAAGTCACATCGTGTTTGAAATGAAATAATTTTAACGTTTTGCACTACAGTCAGGTCAAAATTAAAATATCAAGGATATATAAATGAATCTAAAGACGTGTATTTTAATCTCCTTGTCCGATCATCTTCGCATAGTCATTGTCTTTCTAAGATATGATTAATAATCACAGTGTGAAATTGTGTCTCTTGTTGTATGGTTGGCGTGACCAAGAGTTGAACTAGCAATTGGCATTTTCTTCTGCAGATCCATGCAACGTTTTGATAAAGTATGCGTTTGGTTTCATAAAAATTAGAAAGTTCCAGCGTTTTATGAACCAGAACTTCTGTTGAGTGTCTTTTTTATGCAAAAATTTTGAGTTTATCTTTGACTGAATGGATGTCAGATGTACAGATATACATTTACTTACTCCTCTGATCCTTACTTGATCACTAGGCTTGAGTAGTGACCGTCTCCAAACCGTGATCTAGTGGATTCAGAAGGCAGAACTGCTGACGAAGTGACTGGTTTTATATGCCCTCGTGATGAAATAGATCTTACTCATACAATAAAGGTGTGATTTAGGTGACTGCATAACTATGAAGTACATATCAAATAAGTGATCAACGGTAGTACAATGGACACTAAAAAGGCAATGAGTTCGTACTTATATTTGTGAGGCTGCAACTCTGTCGTCTTTTACAACTCTTTCACTAAATAATGTGGAATCATTGCACTCATGTTAGCTTTTTTCGAAAGTGCTGTCATGGATCAAGACTGGAGTAACATTGTTAGATTTGAAGTTATCTAATCATCATGATTTTATGGATAATACTTGCTGATGTATTGTAATATAGGTGAGGACGGGGAAGAATTAGTTTACATATGAATAGTCTCATACCTCTTTTCCTGTATGATAGCCGAATTCCTATATGTGAGGCCTTATTTTTCCGACCGAATTCATGATTCATTTGTATTCATATTTATATGACCTTGTTCTGAACTTATCACTTCAAGGTGACCAGGTGGAGACGTAGTACTAGTCCATGAAGTTCCTAACTATTGATCTGAGCCGCTTAGGCAGGTGTCGAATGCCTGATTTCGGACCTTGAGGTAAGAGGAATCAATGGTTGTGAAACTCTGCTAGTAAGGCTGTAATTTGATATCAGTGGCGCAGATGTATTCACCTCACTCTTCAACGTCTTCAAAAGTTTGATCATTTTCACCAACCTTTATTTTCAAATTCTTTCTCCTCTCATAAACGTTTGTCTACTTTAATACTACTCTTTTTGTACCCACTTATTCTCTGCATGCTGCTTACTGACAAATATGGCAACTTGCAGTGATGCACTTTGCCAGGTTCTACATCTATTCTGTTTTGCTTGCTTGTCTGTTTTCCACTCCCAGCGATTTGGCTATGAGTTCGAATCTTGTCTCGGCTGTTTAATTCTAGGAAATGAGGTCTTATCACTCACCTCTGTTCTCGTTATGTATGCCTCATCAAGTCCATGAAACTGTCACATAATCCAGTTATGTTGTTATTCATATTCATATTCACACGACTGTTATTATTGTTATTATTATTATCTTGATTAAGCATTCACGGGAAATATTTCTCTTTTCGAATTCGTCTCTGAATGGATTTAGTAATATTGTATGCTGAAACATTGAAATGTATGTGTTTTTATCGAATTTATCTGTTTTTTTCTTGTTTACTGTCTTGAAATAATAGCATTTCAATTCGAACGATCCCGTATGCTTTCCCGATAAACCTATCCTATGCAGTTATCGTCCAGAAGCATTCGATTTGAAACATGTTGAATGTTATAATTTCAACTGTCTACCGTTCTCAAGAAGAATCGATTTTTCAGAATTTGCTCGATCAGTCGCAGGTGATTACATATCAGTTGTTGTTTTCCAATTTTTTTTGTCCCCTTTCCATTTTGTTGTTAAAAAAGCCATCAATATTTTCAGTGAAAATAAGGTGAACAGAGACAGTGGGTTTAGGCATTAGATTTTGGGTGAAGATTTCGGCCCATTTACTGCTTGGTGACGATCAGCGCAACCTGAAGCCAGTTTTTGTACTTTTGGGATTCATCGAATGATATGTGTAATATCGAGGTAATTTATGCTCTCTTTGAAATGTTCGGAATCTTAGGTATTTATTGTGTCCATCAAGTGCTCTTATTTGCAATCTGACGGTCATCGGTCTCTTGAAGAACCGAATTATATGCACAAAATGGTCATTATACAATCACTGTCATTGCTGCCAGTTTTGTAAACTGCTTGTATCTGGTATTCTTAAATTTTATTTACCTTTTATTTCTGGATGGTAAAACGCACGATGATAATACTTTCTGTTGATTAAAATATAGGTTATTGGTCTCGAACACCATTTTGGGAAGGTGACCCATGTGAATTTGGTTTGCTTGGAGTGATTGATTTGAATAATTCGGAACATGTACGAAATGAAATCAGCCATACTACTCTTCCAGAAAATGTTAAGGAGAATATTTTGATGCGTCATGGGATTGCTGAAGCTATTCTTACAGCGTTCGCATGGACATCAGCACAAGCCTACAATCAAGGTTAGCTTGGATAGTATTCATTTTTCAAACAACTGCTAATTTGAATTTGCTTACTTATCAGTCTTTCTCGTCAATAGACTTAAGAATTTATGGTCAGTTTTGATATGTTTTCACTACATACTAGTTAAAAAGCACTAATTACGTGTTATAACCACAAATAAACTGATATGACCAAGCAGTTCGATCCGCTATAGCAGCAGGAAATTGCAAGTATCAATAAGTAACAACTAATACACGTTGCACAAGAGGTCCCCCTCATATCTCAGCGGCCCAGTGGATAACGCTTTGGCGTTTGAGGTGATGGGCAGTGGGTTTGAGTCCCTATTGGAGCACTATCACTCACTGAGATGCAGGCACATCCGCCTGACGACCCCGAAGTAGGACGAAACGTCTATCCTACATTCCGCTGCTAGCCATCAAGTAAACTAGAACATGAACCGATTTAACTTGATATCATGTGCATAGGCTGACCATTGCAAAATAGAATACGTAACTTTGACGAGTGGCTCTGAAGGCCACTCTGACAGCTTCACATATATCCAATTAAGTATCTTGATTTCAGTTAGAAAGGATATTTTTTTCATAAAATAAAAAAACCTAATTGAAGTTGTTATGATGACCTTTAGGGTCACCCGACTTTGACACTGTCACATGGTTCTAAATTTAGCACACCTTGCTACCTGAATATCACTGCACCTGCACTGTATTCGTGCCTGTCAGCCGTCAACTGAGCTGGGCGCGAGGCAAGATGCTTTCAAACGTTTTGACTATCAGCCTTTTTTCCTATTCCTCCGTACAATGGAAGACAAAGATTCCCGACCTATAGCTGCTACCTTGACGTGGTGGTCGGGCTTGCATATCACAATGACCCAACGAGCTATGCTGGTGGAACGCTTGTTCCCTCGAGGTCCTACCATACCAGAAAGGTCTGTTGGGTAGTGGTTAGACGAAAAGCAGTTACCGTTATAGTGTAAATTGCTACACTATGATGGGGGTCTGAGGGCGAAGTCGTACTGCTGCTAGCTGGATGGGGTGTGACAGCAGTAAGGTGTTTCCCTTGGATGACCAGCAGTGCCATGCTGATGCTGCCTTCTCAGTGGAAGGGGGGGTTAGAAAAGGTCGGCCCCAAAAATAACACACTCCACCACGCCCCACGGTCTGCCGGGCCGGCGGTGTTGGTTCACTTGTCGTTTCCTTTCGACCATCCGGCCCCAAAAATACAAAAGTTCAAAATAATCATACTCAAAAGGCTGGGTGTGACAGGCCTCAAGCAGATGTCCGATGGGCTCTGCGGTCACACAAATCTCTTTCAGGTACCTTAAGAAGAAATAGCCTTCCACGGTGTGGGCAGCCGGGAAGTGTCAACCGCCCTCACAACTCTGTCAGCACCCAAGTTTCTTCTGACTGCTATCCTCCTCCTCCATCATTACCTTCTAATCTTCCTTCACGTCTCTTAATTAATGATGCTGCATCATCTTCAATTTCTCCTACCTCTGCAGCCTTCGACAACGATCTGAGTCCACAGAACAGTCCCTGGTCTCCTTAAACCACGCTCCAAATTACATATTGGAGCCTTCAATGTCCGCACCCTCCGTCAAATTGGCCAACAGGCTTCGTTGGCAAAGGCCATGGATGTGTGCTGTGTTTGTGAGACACGCATACAGGACCCAAGTGTGGTTATTCACCTGACCTCTCCTGACCAATCTGGTGAATCTGCAAAATTCACCCTTCGAGTTTCTGGAGATTCGATAGCTAGCTCTCGTGGTCTTGCAGGTGTAGGTATAGCATTAAGCACCAGGGCAGAAAACTCACTACTAGACTGGATCCCAGTTGATAGTCGCCTCTGCGCTATGAGGCTGAACGGCACAGTGAGAACTAAAAGGAATAGTGAGACTCGCCGTTGTCTCTTTGTAATCTCTGCTTACGCACCCACTGACTGTAGTTCGGATGAAGTGAAGGACGAGTTCTACCATAAACTGTCTAACCTCCTCTCGAAAGCCAAACGTTCGGACGTAGTGGTTGTTGCAGGTGACCTCAACGCACAGGTGGGTAGACTGAGTGAGGCAGAAAGGCACTTAGGTGGCACTTTCGGAATCCCAGCTGAACGTACAGATAACGGTGATCGCCTATTACAACTATGCTCAGATAACCGCCTATTTTTAGCCAGCACAAATTTCAGACATAAAGAAAGGCACTGTCTGACCTGGCGTCCACCGAGCTCGACTCAGCGATGGACACAGATAGACCACATTGCTATTAGTCATCGCTGGAGAGGATCGGTGGAAGACTGCCGCTCCTTCTGGAGTACGTGTTTGGACAGCGATCATGCGTTGGTCCGAGCACGTATATGCCTGCGTCTCAATGGACGTAGAAAAAATTTGGCAACAAAACCACTACGAGTTCTGCTGGACAACGAAAACACCAAAGCCGTGTTCAGTGAGAAGTTGGCTAGGCAGTTATCGGAACAAAAGACTGTCACTCATCCAGAAGAAGCTTGGTGCCATCTTCAGTCTACTGTAAAAGCAGCACTGGAGACTGTAGCCGACTCCAAAATAATGGCTAAAAAGAGCCAGTGGATATCAGCAGCTTCTTCCAAACTAATGGATGCACGTGAATGCATCCCTGCAGGCTCTGAGTACAATGAAGAGCGAGCGCAACTTAAAAGACGTCTGCGCAACGATCGTGAACAGTGGTGGGCAGCAAAGGCTAAAGAGATGGAAAAGGCAGCGGCGATCGGTAACAGTAGACAGTTATTTAGACTTATTAAGGAGACTGGGGGAAAAGGTCAACAACAGTTAGTGAGGTTATAGCGGAGAAGGACGGATCTACGACGACTGGAACGATGGGCAGGGCACTTCAAGGAACAGTTTAACTGGCCTCCAGCCACGATTGCGCTGCCCGCTATCCAGTCGGACCCTGAATGAGATAGGTCCCCCAACACTAGAAGAAGTTGAGAAAGCGGTAGGTAGCCTGAAACGAGGAAGGGCAGCAGGACCAGACGGACTACCTGCTGAGGTATACAAGAATGGTGGTAGAGTGCTCTTAGTCAGGTTAACGGAAGTGTTAGCCAGTATATGGGAATCAAATACGATCCCCTCCGACTGGTCTAAGTCACTCATCATCCCAGTCTTCAAGAAAGGCGAGAAGTCCTCTTGTGATAACCACAGAGGAATCAGCCTGACGAACATAGTGTCTAAGATCCTAAGTTCTATAATTCTCCGACGCCTGAGTGGAGCTCGGGAACAGCAAGCCCGAGAAAACCAGGCAGGCTTTAGACCTGGCCGTGGATGTATCGACCAAATATTCACACTGCGCCAGGTCCTGGAACATAGGCATGCTTACAGACGCCCGACAATAGCTGTATTTCTCGACCTGAAGGCGGCATTTGACTCCGTTGATCGAGAAGTCTTATGGCAATGTCTGTCACTGAAAGGCGTGCCTAGTAAGTACATCACCTTATTGAAAGCTCTCTACTCGAACACTTGTGGGCATGTTAGAGCCTATGGTGAGTTGTCCAGGGAGCTATACTCATCAAGTGGTGTCCGTCAAGGATGCCCACTATCCCCATTCTTATTTAATTTTATCATAGATATTCTTATGGAGGTTTCCCTCTCGTCACCTAATTACAAGACGTTGACCCATCACAGGTGAATTTTCTTTAGATCTAGAATATGCAGATGACATAGTCCTGTTAGGTGAAGACGCTGACAAGATGCAGAGTCTTCTGAACACTTTGAGTGGGAATTTGAGAATGTTTGGGATGCGATTTTCACCACCCAAATGCAAATTTTTGCTCCAGGACTGGTCTTCAGCGGTGACCGCGGTTAACAATAGAGAGTGAAGTGGTTGAGTGTGTTGACCACTTCACTTACCTGGGAAGTAGGATCAATCCTGCTCTGATGGGTTAGTTGCCGATGAGATTTCTGCACGGATACAAAAGGCTCGATTGGCTTTTGCCAATTTGCGCCACCTATGGCGCCGCCGTGATATTCGTTTGTCTATTAAGGGTCGCGTGTACTGCACAGCAGTCCGCTCTGTTCTACTGTATGGCTGTGAAACATGGCCATTGAAAGTGGAAGATATGAGAAGGCTTCAAGTGTTTGACCACCGTTGCCTTCGTAGTATAGGACGTATTCCGTGGTGTCACCATGTGAGTAATGCAGAAGTTAGGTGTAGAGTTTTAGGGAGAAGAGGTAAGTCAGTCGACGAGGTTGTGAACCTTCATCGACTGAGATGGTTGGGACACGTACTACGTATGCCTAGTCACCGATTGCCTCGTCACACAATGTTGGCTGAGGTGGGTCCAGGCTGGAAAAAGGCCTGAGGTGGCCAGACTAAATCATAGCACCAATGTATGAAGTCTCTGACTGTTGGTTTGAGTCATGTGGGGCGATGCAGACTAGGTGGTCGGGGTCCGCGGGACAAGAGGAACCAGTGGCTCAAGACTCTATGTGTGTGGCTCAGAACTGATGTCAGTGGCGCAGATGTATACACACTATCATCATCTTAACTACACTATACTGAATCTCACTATTTTGTCGCTCCTCTTTTCTTTCTTCTCGTACTTTATATTTCTTTTGACTGCATTCACTTATCTTCATCCTTCACCTCACTACCTTTTCTACTTGATGAACTGACGTGAGGTGTGGCAATTTGGACCGGTACGCAGTAATGCCTGGTCCTAAGTTGACAATGATTGATTGAAGACAAAGATTAGTCTCTGACTTTCTTTTTATTGAAGAAATCTGAGCCATATATATATATATATATATATATATATATATATATATATATATATATATATATATATCATGTCTACAGCTCAACATAATTCATAAAAATGAAACTACTCATTTTATACATAAATATCAGGATACTGCACAGTAATCACCTTTACGTATTTCGCATGGAATTAGGGGAGTCAATAAAACGTTCTAGAGCTGACCTATGCAATAATGTGATAAAATGAACCTTCAGTAGAAAGAAATAATACAACTGAT